TTGTATTTATTACAAAATCAGTTAAAAACCACGGAATCAGAAATCAGAAACCCACGGTGTTATGTTTATCACAGAATCAGAAACCCACGGCGTTTTTTGTTTTTTATTGCAGAATTAAAATCGCCACGGTGTTGTGTCTATTACGGAATCAGAAACCCACGGTGCTGTTTTTTATTGCAGATTAACAAACCACGGTGTTGTGTTTATTGCAGAATCAGAAAACCACGGTGCTGTTCTTTATTGCAGATTTAAAAACTCACGGTGTTGTGTTTATTACAGAATCAGAAACCCAAGAGCTAAAAACCCACGATGTTGTGTTTATTACAGAATCAGAAACCCAAGAGCTAAAAAACCCACGGTGTTGTGTTTATTACAGAATCAGAAACCCAAGAGCTAAAAACCCACGGTGTTGTGTTTATTACAGAATCAGAAACCCAAGGCACTGTTTTTATTGCAAATTGCTGTATGATTACAGAGTAAAAAAAAAAAAAAAAAAAAAAAAAACTACAGTGCTTTATTAATTACAGCAAGAGAGGCCTTCGGAGTTGTGTGGGTCAGGTGTCAGAAGACATGTCCTTTGCTGGAAATAGCTGCTGAGCCCAAGAAGGGATGGAGGTGGAAACGGGAACAGCTGGAGACGTGGATAAACAACGAAGAGAAGAGAAATATACAAGTACCAGGCTGTGAGCGACGAAATGTGTGACGAAAAGTCATCACCCACACTAGATGCATCTGATCCTGTTGTGGCACCACGGAACCCCGTCTTATTGGCTGAAGTCCCGACACATGGTGATGACTCCTTGGCGTTGATGCCCAGTACTGGAAGGTGCCATCAGTATCCTTACGGAAGCTGTGCAGAGGATGTGCAGTGACATCTTCACATGGCATTTCTGCGGCATCTTTGCCTATTTACAGTGCAGTGGAGATTACCGTGTGTGGGACATAGAGTTTTGGGGGATCTTTACCTGATGATTTTCTGTCCATTGATCCTGACAGATATATAATACAGAGTCAGTTATATTATACTAAAGCTTGTTTTGCTGAGCACTGGAGAGGTTTTTCATCTCGGCGCCCAATGTCCTAGGAGGAATCCAAGTTCTGTGGACACACAGGGTTGTATTCTCTCCCTGTGGTTAGGGACGTGGAGTTTTTTCCCTTGTCCAGCAGCAATACAGCTAAAGAGAGACAGTTGAAGTCATCTCGAAATCATTAGGGAGGAGACCTTGTACTCATTGTTGAACAGCACACTCCCAGGGACCAGTGGAGGCTTGGGAGAGTGATGGGGGCTATAGGTGGTGAAGATGGTCTCGTGAGAATGGCCAAAGTTTTATAATCCTCATCAGACCACTGTGAAGTTATGCCTCTTGGAAGCATCATTATCCAGAACGACGGGATTATATGTTGCTCCACAGCGGAGCAAAGGGGGGAGTGTAGCCGCTGGTATATCATGTACTTCATATCAGCAGCTGGTATATCATATATTTCGTTTATCACGTATTCTGTAACAATACGGAGAGGCCTGTATGGTATAAATTTATCTTCTGTGTCATAACCGCTGGGAAGGCGACGGCGAGTACCACCGGGTCAACACATGGTCTGCATCAGCCGTAAGAGCTGACCTGTCAAGAAACGTGTTTGTGTGAGGGGTCGTGCCATAGGAAGTGGTGACGGCTCTTCAGATGATCGATGCTGTGAGATAGCAAGACCGCGACCTAACTAATGTATAACATGTGAAGTTGAATGTTACTTGGCGTCGTAGCCTGTGTATGTTTATAGTGTGAGGGCAGTTCGAGGGGAACCTCTGTGCCGTCGAGACGCCCATACCATTCTGGAATCAGACCAATAAGCTGATATTCTGACTGTTCCCGCAATGCGTATGTATCCAATATTTGTAGGAAGTTCTTATTATATAATCTAATGTCTAACGTGTGCTGATATTTAGTGGCTTTGTATATTGTGTGCATTTGTACAATCGATGTATTATTTAACAGGTTTGACCGCTACTGAATAAACCTTGAGCGAGTGCTACGCAGTGGTATCAGTCACCCCAGACCCATCGACGAAATCATAGGCGTGCTCCGGCGGCCACAAAGACTGAATTCCAACCACGTTTAAAAGCTATTTGAATTAGACTCCTTTTCATCGTCCCTTTTCATCATCTACATTTAACAGTCTTTGTACCAGCGCCAACTTTATTCAGAGGTAAATATCAATATCATTTAAACCCTCAGAAAGATCAACAAGTCTGAATAATGAACAGTGAACAGTTAGGCTGACATCTCGCCTGTGATAAAATCTTGGAAGTACGTTCAATCAAGTTCAGTCAATGTGGCTATATATATATATTTTTTTACGTATATTAGTACGTTGTTTAATGTTCAGTGAAACTAACGTCTGATCGAAATACGAGACAACATTAAAGAAAGAATTCGGTCTGTAATAACGCTCCAGTAATGATTTTAGCTGGGTTATAAATTACATCATTCATTTTTTTTATCTTTATTATCTTTCGCTGGATGCTTATCACAATCACATTAATCTAGGGAGCGTAAAAGGGACACAGCTTATTACTTATCATAACTTAGACACGTGTCATTGGTAACGTCTTTTAACTTGTCTTCCTCTGTCTTCTTCTTCTTTCTCTCCCTTTTAGTTCTGTTTCTTTTATTTATTCTTCCTCGCCATCAGCCGCTACTATCTCGATCAACGTATTTTTTACTCCTTGTTCTACTTCTACTTATACGTCATTGTATTCCTTATTCTCATCCCCCATTCTTAATCTCCTTTTCTTCATTTTATTCTTCTTTTCCTCCTCCTTCTTCTCCACCTTCTCCACCAGCTCCTACTCCTCCGCCACCTCCTCCTCCCTCTCCCTCCACCTCCTCCCTCTCCCTCTCCTCCACCTCCTCCTCCCTCTCCTCCACCTCCTCCTCCCTCTCCTCCACCTCCTCCTCCCTCTCCCTCCACCTCCTCCTCCCTCTCCCTCCACCTCCTCCTCCCTCTCCTCCACCTCCTCCTCCCTCTCCTCCACCTCCTCCTGCCCCTCCCTCCACCTCCTCCTCCCTCTCCTCCACCTCCTCCTCCCTCTCCTCCACCTCCTCCTCCCTCTCCCTCCACCTCCTCCTCCCTCTCCCTCCACCTCCTCCTCCCTCTCCTCCACCTCCTCCTCCCTCTCCCTCCACCTCCTCCTCCCTCTCCCTCCACCTCCTCCTCCCTCTCCTCCACCTCCTCCTCCCTCTCCTCCACCTCCTCCTCCCTCTCCTCCACCTCCTCCTGCCCCTCCCTCCACCTCCTCCTCCCTCTCCTCCACCTCCTCCTCCCTCTCCTCCACCTCCTCCTCCCTCTCCCTCCACCTCCTCCTCCCTCTCCCTCCACCTCCTCCTCCCTCTCCTCCACCTCCTCCTCCCTCTCCCTCCACCTCCTCCTCCCTCTCCCTCCACCTCCTCCTCCCTCTCCCTCTCCCTCTCCCTCCACCTCCTCCCTCTCCCTCTCCTCCACCTCCTCCCTCTCCCTCTCCTCCACCTCCTTCCTCTCCCTCTCCTCCACCTCCTCCTCCCTCTCCCTCTCCCTCTCCCTCCACCTCCTCCCTCTCCCTCTCCTCCACCTCCTCCTCCCTCTCCCTCCACCTCCTCCTCCCTCTCCCTCCACCTCCTCCTCCCTCTCCCTCCACCTCCTCCCCCCTCTCCCTCCACCTCCTCCTCCCTCTCCCTCCACCTCCTCCCTCTCCCTCTCCTCCACCTCCTTCCTCTCCCTCTCCTCCACCTCCTCCTCCCTCTCCCTCCACCTCCTCCTCCCTCTCCCTCCACCTCCTCCCCCTCTCCCTCCACCTCCTCCTCCCTCTCCCTCCACCTCCTCCCTCTCCCTCTCCTCCACCTCCTTCCTCTCCCTCTCCTCCACCTCCTCCTCCCTCTCTCTCCACCTCCTCCCTCTCCTTCACCTCCTCCTCCCTCTCCCTCCACCTCCTCCTCCCTCTCCCTCCACCTCCTCCCCCCTCTCCCTCCACCTCCTCCCTCTCCTCCACCTCCTCCTGCCTCTCCCTCCACCTCCTCCTGCCTCTCCCTCCACCTCCTCCCCCTCTCCTCCACCTCCTCCCTCTCCTCCACCTCCTCCTCCCTCTCCCTCCACCTCCTCCTCCCTCTCCCTCCACCTCCTCCTCCCTCTCCTCCACCTCCTCCTCCCTCTCCCTCCACCTCCTCCTCCCTCTCCCTCAACCTCCTCCCCTCTCCCTCAACCTCCTCCCCCTCTCCCTCCACCTCCTCCTCCCTCTCCTCCACCTCCTCCTCCCTCTCCCTCCACCTCCTCCTCCCTCTCCCTCCACCTCCTCCTCCCTCTCCCTCCACCTCCTCCTCCCTCTCCCTCCACCTCCTCCTCCCTCTCCCTCCACCTCCTCCTCCCTCTCCTCCACCTCCTCCTCCCTCTCCCTCCACCTCCTCCTCCCTCTCCCTCCACCTCCTCCTCCCTCTCCCTCCACCTCCTCCTCCCTCTCCCTCCACCTCCTCCCTCTCCCTCCTCCACCTCGTCCCTCTCCCTCCACCTCCTCCCTCTCCCTCTCCCTCCACCTGCCAAGATCAACTTTTTCCTTGCACGCGAGGCCTTGGCAAGTGAGGAGTCATTGTACCAAACCTTCCACCTTGCCACATTATAAATTCATGTTCTCAATCTTTCTGGAACATTCTTTTTTATTTATACTAATGATACGCAAAGGAATAATGAAAGCACAATGAATAAACAAGGTTAAAAGGAGGATTTGAAATTCACTGAAGAAGGATTTAATTACATATGTTGATAATATAACCGACTTAATTATCCACACGCATAAATATGCACTAAATAGGTTTACAGGCAAATAGACAGTCTTTCAATATACATTAGTGGAAACGAATCATATCCCTTCATCAAACTAATCATCATGTGATTATAGTCCTCAATATCAATGATATATTAAACCCGATTTAAATCTGTATAAATAATTGCCTCGCATTCCCAATAATAACCATAAT